TAGCATGCATGATCTTGATAAGTCAAGGTTCCCCACTTCAAAAAATTTAGGTTGTGCATGCAGGATGATGAATCTTTCTTTAGAGTTTAGAGTAGATCGACAACTTCTCTTTTTGGGAATGAATCTCCTAGATCTTCTACTTATTAGCACATGGGCCTTTTGGATTAACATGGGTACGACTACAAACTATTCAGGGCTTTACATGTTTGCCTTTCTCAAACATCACTGTTTTGGTGTATAATGTATTAGTGTTAGTGCTAATGTGCTATTACTCTGGCAGCTAATCCTTCAATGGGTCACTCATCTTACCAATACAACTCAAAATGAGGTTTTCGCGACAAACTTTAGCCTATGATTTTAAAATATCTGCAACATAGTGACCATTGGTAATAAGTGAATTATTTTCCCACCACACAAGTCATCAGGAAAACATTCACTATTAGCAACAATTAGCATTATTAGCTTCGTCCGAAATGTCTTATATATATCATTAGCGACATACATCCAAATTACATTCTTGCAACTTATAAGCTGATCACTTAAATTGATTTGCAAGTCATCTGCTACATTTGCTCATCTAAACAGCCAATTGATGACAGTAAGATATCAATCAAAGCTTTCTCCCACCATAACCAATTCTGACAGATTTTACTTGCTAATTGCCCTCTTCTGCAACATTTTTGTAGCATCTGAAGCTGCAATCAAACTATAACTAATATACCTTGATGATTAGAGAGTATTGCTAAATGCTCTGCTGCGCTATTGAGCTCATTGTAAAGATGAACAAACACTTTGTACATAGAAATAAAAGTTCATGACACAGATTTTTCAATCTAGAAATCCTGACAAGGTGGTTCTTAGTCCCACATTATTAAGTTACAAAATAATCCATTACTACAAAAGGCCCATTAAACCATAAACTATCGCCGGGCTAGGTAACGCAAGCTTGTAACTCAAGTGAGGGCATTAAGGTGATTGGACTTGGGCCATACTCTTGCTGGTCGGGCCTGAGATAGCTATTCCAGACCCGCCCATTCCAAGTTGGGAGTTGGGCTGTGCGGTGCGGGTGAAGACCTGTGCCACGTAGCACCTAGAGTGGAGGGTACTGCGTCAGTCTGGCTTCACAGAGCAGCGAAAACCTCCCGCTCTCGACAGTGGAAGGATAACGGGTCCAGCACCTCTGGTCCAATGTGGCCAGCTAGGTTTGGCCCAATGGACAATCACTTTTTTGGCCCAATTTTATCAAAATCCATCTTTGAGCACTTTCTCACCTCGCAAGCTTTGTCCTCTGAACCAACTATTAAGGTCCACTTTGATTAATTAGTTTATTTTAGGGTAACATCTCTATCTCTAGAAAAGGGGTGGGAATCCTTCAACATGTTAAATTACCATTCTGCCCCTCACAATAACACTATTATTAGTCTGACTGTTTTTTGATTTTTTAAATTTTGACTTTTTTTTCTCAGCTGACTCGTGCTAACGGTGTAATTTCTTTTGATAGGTTTAGTTTACCGTTTTACCCCTCATAATAACTCTTTTTCTCCAATTGTTCTTTTATTCTCTCTATCTTTAGAAAAGAAATGGGAATCAATGTGTAAGTTCCTCCAGAATTTAAGAACATTGTGAGTAACAACTGGTGCAACTTGAATAAT